GGCAGGCTGGTGCCAGGTAGAAGGCAGTACTGAGTGCCTTGAAGGCACCCCTTGAGGGATGGGAGAGGGCAGGAAGGGCCGATGCTTCATGTCTCCCACAATCCTCTGAGCACCCACTTTTTATAAATGAGAAAACTTCAGCTCCAAGAAATACATTGCTGAGTCGATCCAGTTTTCAATGGCTGGGAGCTTTCAGAACTGGATCACCGGCTCTTTCTTCCAAGAGGCTCTGAGTGGGTTTGAGCTGACAACCTTTCTGTTTGGAGCTGAGCGCTTCATGGTTTTCTTTGCTCGGGGCTTCCAATTCACTGTCATGGAATCTGTTCGGACTCATGGTGACCCGATAGGACAGGGAAGATCTACCTCTGTGGGTCTCAGAGACTGGAACTCTTTACAGGAACAAAAAGCCTCATCTTTCTTCCCATGATCGGCTGGTGGTTTTTGAACTATTGACCTTGTGGTTAAGTATTCCAATCTATCACCACCATGCCACCAGGGGTCACAGAAGACACCAACTCAATCGGGTTTGTTAGCAAAGAGGGTGTTGGTGCTGGCTCCAGGAGCAGGGCCATCTGGGAGGCCTGCATCATCGTAAAGGGCCCCACACCCCTCAGAGCCTCCTGCTTCATTGAAGGCTCTGCAGTTGCCAGCTTGACATTGCTACTGAGTTTGAACTTGGAGCCCACAATTCTGCTCAGAGGTGGCTGTGTCTGCGTGGACATGGGCCCAGGGGCCCAGGTTTCAGAGGCAAATGCACCCGGGAAGAACCATGGTTTGGACCAAACACTTACCCACTTGAAGCCTCACTGTCCTCATTTGTGAAATGGGCCGTCTCATCGAAGGTTGCTGGGGAGGTGAAAGGAGGCGGGGCACACCAAGCCCCCAGCACCACATCTGCATATGGCAGGCTGGGGGCGGGGCCTGGCTCCTCCGGTGACCGGTGACTGGTGACCGGTGACTGGTGACCGGTGACCGGGTTTTTACAGCACATCCCCAGGCCATTCTGGAAGGTCCTGACTGATGAATACCTCCATGACAAGCACTCTGTGGCTGAAATTCAAAGCAGCTTCCTGGACTTGCTCGGCGATGTGTTCTTTGTGGTCCCCGGCCTGGTCACAGCTCGGTATCACAGAGGTGAGTCTGTGGTGGGACTGGTGGCCACAAGGACCCATGTCCTCTGCTGCCCAGCCTCTTTCCGTGAGAGGGGTCCCACGTCCAGCACCTTGACCCTGACTTTGGGACACTGACTTGCAGCTCATCTGGTTTTCTGAGTTGGGGACAGTGGTCAGTTCTCCCCTTTCTCTTTGTCAGAACAGAGCAGAAAGCACCCACCACTCCATAATTCTCAGAGCCCCCCCCCCCAAGCCCCCAGTTACCCAGTGCTGCTTGAACCAAACACCGTCTCAGTCCCAGGGGCTGAGAGTCGAGGTCAGGGTGTCAGCCTTGCTGGGTCCTCTGGGAACCTCTCTCTGTCTTCCTTTACTTGAAGGTGGCCCTCACCTGGCCTCTGTCCCCCTGCCCATGTCCCTCCATCCGGAGTGCTTCCGTTATTATTATTCTTTTTATAAATCATTTTATCGGGGGCTCTTACAGCTCTTATAACAATCCATACATCCATCCATTGTGTCAAGCACATTTGTACATATGTTGTCATCATCCTTTTCAAAACATTTTCTTTCTACTTGAGCCCCTGGTATCAGCTCCTCCACGCAGTCCCTGGCTCCCTGTTTCCAGTTCTCCTCCTTCCTACTGCGCTGAGCTCTGGCCTTGGGGAGAGGCGGCCCTTTTGAGATCAACTGGCGGATAGCTGCAGGTGCATGCACCTCGCTGCTAATACTGTTCCATTTTCTTACCTGTCATTTTGCTCTTTGGACACACCTCTCAGAAGGGACCCGGCTGAGGGGCCTCCCTACTGTAGTATGGCCTTCTTGACGTGACAAAGGAAGTCCCCTGTTTCCAAACAGGCTCCTATTTACAGGAACAGGGGCTAGGACTTCCGCATCTCTTTGGGAGGGAGGTGTCCCCGAGATTGACCTGAACCCCCAAGATGTCATTCTCTCCACGGCATCTCCGCTTTCAGGAGTGTGAGAGAATCAGGAAAGAGAGGATGGCTTGGGGAGACACAAACACTGTTTTCTTTTCTTTCTCTTTCCCCCTCCACCTCCTCTTCCTCCTTCAACCTCATCCCCTCACTCACTCGCTCACTTCCTTTCTTCTCTTTCCAAGAAGGTTTATCCAGGTTGTGCTGTGAACCTGGCACCGTTCTAGGATCTATTGGTCTCTGGAGCGCTGAATCAGGGTCCAGGAGAGGAAGTGGTAGGAGGGAGATCTTAACTGAGACAAGGACTGTTTCCAGTAGTAGAGCTCTGTCCCCATCAGGCTTCCGGCAGGTAATGAGCTCCCTGTCGTGAGCCTGGGAAACTGTGGTGGCAGGACATTGTGTCTCAGATGGGACTAAAAGGGAGAGATCAGCTTGCTTTGGACAGCCTCTTGCTTCGGAGCTGCCCTGGGTGGATCTCTGGGTTGGGATGCTTGGGCGGCCCCAGCTCCGACCTGCCTACCCCTGACTCGAGCCTTCTCCTGACTTGCGTCAGACGCGGGGGCACCAGTCTACTTTTATGAGTTCCAGCACCGGCCCCATTGCTTTCGAGACTCGCGGCCAGCTTTCGTCAAAGCCGATCACACGGATGAAGTCCGCTTCGTCTTCGGAGGGGCCTTCCTGGAGGGCGACGTTGGCATGTTTGGTGAGGAGCTGCCCTAGGGGGTCTGCCCACTGCAGGAACTAGGCCTGTGAACTTGGTCCAGCCAGGCGGAGGCCCTTCTGTGAAGTCTCATTTCTACCCCAGAACACTGAAGCAAGCATCTCCCTGAGGTGCTTACTGAGCTCCAGGTGCTCACGTTACAGTGCAGATGCTCCTTCAGCTTGTGTGCGTTAGTCTGGGTTGACTAGAAAAACAAGTTCATGAACACTCATGTGTATAAGAAAGAGCTTTATATACTAGAGCAATTGAATATTGAGAAAACATCCCAGCCCGGTCCAGATCAAGTCCGTAAATCTGATATTAGCCCATGTGTCCAATACCAATCTATAAAGTCCTCTTCAGACTCAGGAATCACATGCAATGATGCTGAATGCTGGAAGATCACAGGCCAGTGGGTGGGAAGTCTTGTGGATCCAGTGGTGTTGTAAACATCTCAGTGCTGGCAGGGGTCTCCATGTGCCTCCTTCAACTCCAGAACTCTAGAGTAGCTCCATGAATCTTGTCAATAGGAATGTCTCCCAGGGAGTCAACATGTGTCCTGCCTCCAGTGAGCATTATCTCCTCAGTGCCTCCAAATGAGGTCATCAAGCTGCCCCCTGATTGATAGGCTAACCTCCACCCCTTCACTCTTAATCCTCTCAAATTGACAACAGATTCTGTAACTACCCCAGGTGGAATCGCACATTCTCAGCAGGAGGCCAAACTAGAATAAGCTGGAGTCCTCGTGGTGTTATGGTTACCTACTGGGCTGCTCGCTGCAGTTTGAAAGGACCAGCTGCTCTCTGGGGGAAAGAGGAGGCTTTCAACTCCAGCAAGGAGGCTTTCTACTCCAGCAAAGAGTTACATCTCAGAAACCCATGGGGGCAGCTCTACCCTCTCCTATGGGATCACTATGAGTCAGCATGGACTCAGTGGTAGGGAGTGAGTTTGAAGCCCTGCCAGGATCACAGAGAATGGGATGAGGTGTGAGGAAGCCCCCTCCCCCACTACTGCGAACAGGAAGCCCTTCACCCCATCCCCCACGATGTGGGAGCCCAGGGCTGATGGTGGGGGCTTGTCCTCTGATGGCTTACAGACACAGCCCATCTCGAGAAAAGGCCCCCACTGTGATTGCTCAAAACTGAAAGAAGGGAAGATCTGCTAACCCTTCGTTCCCCTTTGCTGAAGTCCAGGGGATTCTGTGAGGTTCTCAAGCAAGCGCTGCTTTCCCTAATGAGAAGCCCTCTTGTCCTTCTGGCCAGTCCCAGGAAAACTGCTGCCTGCCCTGATGGCAGGGCTCGGGTTTTCCCAGATGCAGCCCACAGTCACTGGATCAAGATAAACCTGAACTTGGTTGATTCCGACTCGGGACGACCCAGTGAACAGAGTAGACCCGCCCCCAGAGATAGGAGCCCCCAGGCTGTAATCTGTACAGCGGGTTGAGCCACTCACTGCCCTGTCAGTAAGCAGCTCGACACGTGGCCACCACCGCACCTCCAGTTGAGCTCATGGACATGCTGTGAAATGCTATTCGTACATGTTGCTCTATGAAGTATTTACTAGTTAGCTCTTTTCTTTCTCAATTTATGGCACCCTCGATGCCAATCAGAGGAGACTATTGACAGAAAAAAATACAGGAATGATAGACAGGCGAGTTCATTAAAAATAGATGCTGCAAATTCTTAATGAATGGGCTTTCTACAACGGAGGTCCAGTATGCTTGTGCACTGTGGTTTATCTAGTATTTCTTTAGTTCACGCTCGTCTTCAAAAAGCAGGCAGCAATAGAACCACCTCCTGCCTCGTCAGAAGAACGGCATGCAATAATCCCAACACCACGCACAGTGAGGGCTTAGTAACTGTTATTATTAGCATTGCTCATCGACGATTACTGAGTTTATTATGGACTGCCCAGATGGACTCCCCGAACTGGAGTTGGTGTGTGTGTGTGTGTGTGTGTGTGTGTGTGCCACACTTACAACATATGCAGCACAGGCTTAATTTTCTTGGTACCTAGAGAGCTCAAATAAATAAATAAATAAGTGAGAAATCCACCGCCCCATAGAGAAGCAGGTAATGGACAGTTTACAAAAAAGAAAATCTAAATACTCAAGAGAATTGCGAACTAAATTCACATCAGCGAGTTTGCCCACTCTCACCTAAAACAAGGGTGATACAGAGGAAGAGCCCTGTGGTCCGGCTGCTGTGGGCAGACACTACTGGCAAACGCCATCAGAATCTCAAATGCCTGCCGGCTTGAACCCAGCAATCCCACACCTACTGGTTTGTTTGTGTTTTCTGAACAGTTGTACTTTCCCATATGCCAAATGTAGGCACATGAGAAAGGATTTATTTTACCAGCTTAAGATTGGCACCAACCTGAAGACCCACTAACAGCCTGCTGGAGAAGGTCTGTCTTTACAAATTGATGGGAACGTTCTTTAGGGGAGCATTACCTGTATGCTCTTTACATTTCCAGACCAACAGTTAGGCTAAAGGACAGCTATGTGGGGGAGGATGTGGGACGACCCAACACCTAGCTACAATTTCAATAAAATATACTGTCCGGTGTGCACAAAGAGGGGTCATGTACACACATGTGCCAGCCTGGCTTGTCCTTGAAAGGGTGTTCAGGAACCAGTCGCAGGCATAGCCCCCCAAGCTGGTACCCTGGGTTTTGAGAGGGAAGAGGTGGGAGGGGAGACTTCTTCTCATAGCTGCCCTTTGGGACAGTTTAGATTTTGTCGCTCGATCAGGTGTTATCTTTTCGAACAAAGAAACATTGGCATCAAGAGTTTGCAAAAGGAAGGGAGACAGAGATGGGGTGGGGGGCAGGGGGGGAGTCATCCCTGTCACTGAGGAAGCTACAGCCTCACAAGAGGGGTCTGAAAAGACCTGTGTTCAGTTTCCCCCACTCAGAAGCCACGGTTGCTGTGCAGACCCTTCTCGCCCCAGGCCTCCGTGCCTGCATGCACAGTGACACTGTAGGACAGGAGGCGTGGAATGACTTGTCCAGTGTAAGGCAGCTTGGGTGGCCAGGCGATGAGGCCCCGTGGTTGACCTTGGCACCTCTCACCTTCAGAAGGAGCCACCGAGGAGGAAAAACTACTGAGCAGGAGGATCATGAAATACTGGGCTCACTTCGCTCGAACCGGGTAGGTAGACTGTTAGGTCTCCCCCACACCAGCGTTGTTTGAGGGACAACCTCTCACCCTCTTGGGTCCTCCCTTCCAGGAATCCCAATGGGGAAGGCTTGCCTCTGTGGCCAGCCTACAGTCGGCCTGAGCAGTACCTGCGGCTGGATGTGAACATCTCGGTGGGCGAGAGCCTGAAAGAGCGGGCAGTGGAGTTCTGGACGAAGACTGGGCCCCTGACCAAGTCCACCTCCAGGGCGCCCCTCTCCTGGGTTTCCTTTCCCCCTTGAGCCGCCTCTCCCTGTCCTTGCCTTTCTTTTCGTCTGGTTGGCTCCTTGAGAATGGAGTGGTTCTGTCATTTTGGGTTTTCTTCTGTCGCAGCCTCTCCTACAATCATGAGCTCCATGTTAAGTTTGGCGGCTTTCCACGGAGATGCTTGTAGAATTTGCTGGTTTAGCTGATGTTTTCTGGACATAAGGATGGGTTATCCTTGGGGAGTTCTTTTGACATCCAAAACCAGGCCATCTGGTGTGGAAGGCCACCACATTTCCTCAATCAATCTGGAGCAGGGCTGGTTCACTAGCTGGCATAATAACCATCTGCTTACTCATTTGAAATAAAATCAGAATGTAAAATATGTACAGGAGACAGACTTTAATTCTGTCCTGGAAACTCTCTCTCATCCTCTGGCGCC